AAACAACAACAGTTCAACTTTAAAAGTAAACACAGCAAAAAGCAAAAAAAAAAGACTCATGATCCAATAACAGAGACAACAAGACCACACCCAGCAAACAGCACAGAACCCACATGCACACCACCTCACCAACCCACCCGCACCCAGCCAGATCCAAAACCGCCAGATGTGCCAACGCGCACCAACCCCACACAACCAACACCCTTTCCCAAGCGCCCCAACACCAGAACAGACACCCTGCCATAGCGCAAAAAGAAAAAAAAACGAACGACGCCCTCCCCACCCCAGATCAACATTAACAGACGGCACGCCACCGGCCCCTGCCTCCAAGCTATCGCCGCCCCCAAAAAACCAATAAACCGCCGCCACCGAACACGGCGAACACGCGGCCGAAGCCGGCGGCGCCGAACGCGACGAACGCCCCCGACGCCGCCGGCGGTTCCGGCAGGGGCGCGGCCTCCGCCCGCAGACCCAGGCCGGCCCCCCCAGGCTTGGTTGGAGCGCGCCAGGCGAAAAAACGCCAACGCTCCTCTTATGCCACTAGCGCCCGGGCAGCATGAAATAACCCCCCGCGGGGAAGGAAAGTGCCGTTCCGAAGGCGGGCCTTGCGCCGCGCTCGGCCGCGGGGCGCCGCCGCCTGCCCCGCCGAGCGGCCCGCGGCAAACCGGGGCGCCTGCAACAGGCCCCCCCAATCTGACCTGCGCCGCGCCCCGCCATGTGAGTGGCCGCGTCTTCGTGCGCTTGCCTTCTGACGCTGAGGAGGGGCCGCCCTGGCTGCCACCCTGGAGTGCCAAGTGCTAGCAAAGGGGCTGTGAAAGAGAACCGCGGGCTTCACAGGATTTTTGACGGCGCAGGCGCGCGGGGAGCGCGCCTCACGCTTTTAGCATGCTCAGGGGGGTCGCTCTATGTCGCCGCCTACTTTTCCGCTTCTGACAACAGCCGGAAACGCGGATTCAAAAAAGCGAAATGCAATAAAGCAACAATATGTTGAGACAAGAGGCCAAAAACCAAACAACAATCTGAGAAGGCCCTTCCGCGCGGGCCCTCCAATGCGCGCCTTTCTCCTAGAGTGCGTTTGTAGCCGCGCCTCTGCTCTAGAAATCTGCCCTTTCCAGCCCTCCTAGGCTGCTGCGCATAGCGTCGTAGCCGGTTTAGGGCGGGCACATGTACTCTCTCCTTTTTTCCTTTCTTTCTTTTTAGTTGGGGGCGCGCTTTCAGTAAGTTGGGTTCCGCTTCCGGCGGGCCGGTGGCGGTACGAAAAATAGCTCCCACGCACGAGCCGCCCGGCAGCCAAAGTAGCAAAAACCGGCGTGCAGCGAACCACGCGCCTTGGTCTAAGCTGCCAAGGCGTTTTCGGAGGCGAAAAGATTTGCAATACAATGCCTCGGGCGCCGCCTAAAACTCTTACAGCGCCAGGGTTCGGCGTGCTTCACGCTTCGCCATTATACCCACTCAAGATGCCTCTCCGTAGGCAGTTGTAAGGCGGGATTTCAGTCGTGCCACCGCCTGCCCATCGCACGAAGCCGCCAGCGTCTCTTTTTATCACCCGGAGAGCCCGCGCCTTGCGGACGCCAAGGCTGATGACCATGTGGTCATGAACCGGCTAACACCCGGCATATACACGTTATAGTGAGCTGTCAAACAATATCGGATCAGCTTGGACAGCCGGGTGGACAACCTGTTGAGGTGTGTGGCTTCGTGGGCGGGGTTGCTCAAT